AAGAAAGACAGAGAGAGAGAGAAATTATGAAAGAAAGACAGAGAGAGAAAGAAAGAAAGACAGAGAGAGAGAGAAAGAAAGAAAGACAGAGAGAGAGAGAAATTATGAAAGAAAGACAGAGAGAGAGAGAAATTATGAAAGAAAGACAGAGAGAGAGAGAAATTATGAAAGAAAGACAGAGAGAGAGAGAAATTATGAAAGAAAGACAGAGAGAGAGAGAAATTATGAAAGAAAGACAGAGAGAGAGAGAAAGAAAGAAAGAAAGACAGAGAGAAAGAAAGAAAGACAGAGAGAGAGAGAAATTATGAAAGAAAGACAGAGAGAGAGAGAAATTATGAAAGAAAGACAGAGAGAGAAAGAAAGAAAGACAGAGAGAGAGAGAAATTATGAAAGAAAGACAGAGAGAAAGAAAGAAAGACAGAGAGAAAGAAAGAAAGACAGAGAGAAAGAAAGAAAGACAGAGAGAAAGAAAGAAAGACAGAGAGAGAGAGAAATTATGAAAGAAAGACAGAGAGAGAGAGAAATTATGAAAGAAAGACAGAGAGAGAAAGAAAGAAAGACAGAGAGAAAGAAAGAAAGACAGAGAGAGAGAGAAATTATGAAAGAAAGACAGAGAGAGAAAGAAAGAAAGACAGAGAGAGAGAGAAAGAAAGAAAGACAGAGAGAGAGAGAAATTATGAAAGAAAGACAGAGAGAGAGAGAAAGAAAGAAAGACAGAGAGAGAGAGAAATTATGAAAGAAAGACAGAGAGAAAGAAAGAAAGACAGAGAGAGAGAGAAATTATGAAAGAAAGACAGAGAGAGAGAGAAATTATGAAAGAAAGACAGAGAGAGAGAGAAATTATGAAAGAAAGACAGAGAGAGAAAGAAAGAGATAAAGAGAGAGAGAGAGAGAGAGAGAGAGAGAGAGAGAGAGAGAGAGAGAGAGAGAGAGAGAGAGAGAGAGAGAGAGAGAGAGAGAGAGAGAGAGAGAGAGAGAGAGAGAGAGAGAGAGAGAGAGAGAGAGAGAGAGAGAGAGAGAGAGAGAGAGAGAGAGAGAGAGAAAGAAAGAAAGACAGAGAGAGAGAGAAATTATGAAAGAAAGACAGAGAGAAAGAAAGAAAGACAGAGAGAAAGAAAGAAAGAAAGACAGAGAGAGAGAGAAAGAAAGAGATAAAGAGAGAGAGAGAGAGAAAGCAAAAGACATGCTTGAGAGAACACACAATAAAATAAAATGAAAAAAAAATTTTCTTCTTTTCTTTCCCTTCTTTTACCTCCTTTTCTTCCTTTCTCTCAGGACCAAGACCAGAAGGACTACTGGCCGGCGCACGTGATGGAGGCGGTGTTCTTTTTTTTTCTTCTCTATTTTCATTGTTCTCTTCTTTCCTTTCCTTTCCTTTTCTTTCTATTTACTATTTTTCTTCTTTTCTTTCCCTTCTTTTACCTCTTTTTCTTCCTTTCTCTCAGGACCAAGACCAGAAGGACTACTGGCCGGCGCACGTGATGGTGGCAGTCATTCCCTTTTTTTCCCTTATCTTTCTTCATTGTTCTCTTCTTTCCTTTCCTTTCTCTCTACTAGTTTTCCTTATTTTCTTTCCCTTCATTTCCTTTTCTTTCTTTTACTTCTTTTTCTTCCTTTCTCTCAGGACCAAGACCAGAAAGACTACTGGCCGGCGCACGTGATGGTGGCGGTGTTCTTGGCGCTGGACGTGGCGGTGGTCGCTCGCCTCCGCTTCTCAGTAACCGACAAGAAGATCTCGAGGGCGGACGTACACGAGGTCTTCCGGCAGCCTTCTGTGATGCTTACGGTGGTCAGGTTCTTGGTTTTGGGATTTTTTTGGTCTGTGTTTGTTTGGGTGGGAGCGTGTGTGTGTGTGTGTGTGTGTGTGTGTTTGTTTGTTTGGGTGGGAGTGTGTGTGTGTGTATGTGTGTGTGTGTGTGTGTGTGTGTGTGTGTGTGTGTGTGTGTGTGTGTGTGTGTGTGTGTGTGTGTGTGTGTGTGTGTGTGAGTAAGAGGGAAGAGGAAAGAGAAAAGGGAAGAGAGAGAGAGAGAAATTATGAAAGAAAGACCGAGAGAGAAAGAAAGAAAGAAAGACAGAGAGAGAAAGAAAGAAAGAAAGACAGAGAGAGAAAGAAAGAAAGAAAGACAGAGAGAGAAAGAAAGAAAGAAAGACAGAGAGAGAAAGAAAGAAAGAAAGACAGAGAGAGAAAGAAAGAAAGAGATAAAGAGAGAGAGAGAGAGAAAGCAAAAGACATGCTAGAGAGAACACACAATAAAATAAAATGAAAAAAAAAAAAAAAATTAAAGTAAATCTCCCCGCCCTCTCTCCCCTTCGCCCCTCTCACAGCTGACGACGGTGGTCCTCGGGCTGTCCTGCGGGATGATAGGAACCTTCCACTTCCTGCTGGTGGAGGACGTGGCGGCTGCTTGGGACCCCGGGTTCTCCCATCTCAAGCTCCTTCAGGGGCTCATGCTCGGGGTGCAGTGCCTGGTGGCCGAGGTTCCCTGCCTTTTCCTGACGG